CACTAGGCACAGGAAAGTGGCCGTCTAGGGCAGGAGAGCTGCCAGCCTGGCCACCCAGGACCAGGTGTGCATGAAAATCAAGGGGGTCCACTGAGACCCCCGACACTGAGCCCTGAGCTTACAATGGCCGTACTGGGTCAGACCAAAGGTCCATCTAGCCCAGTAGCCTGTCTGCCAACAGCGGCCAACCCTAGGGACCCTGGAGGGGATGGACCGAAGACAGTGACCAAGCCATTTGTCTCGTGCCATCCCTCTCCAGCCTTCCACAAACTTTGGGCAGGGACACCACTCCTACCCTCTGGCTAATAGGACTCCATGGACCCAACCTCCATGACTTGATCTCACTTCCCTTTAAACTCTGTTCTAGTTGTAGCCTTCACAGCCTCCTGCAGCAAGGAGTTCCACAGGTTAACTATTTGCTTTGTGAAGAACAACAACTTTCTCTTACTAGTTTGAAGCCTGCTACCCATTCCTTTCCTTTGGTGTCCTCTAGTCCTTCTTTATGGGAACTCAGGAAGAACTTTTCTGAATGCACCCTCTCCACCCAACCCCTGCTTTTAGAGACCTCTATCCTGTCCCCCCTCCGTCTCCTCTTTTCTAAGCTGAACAGTCCCAGTCTCTGTAGCCTCTCTTCATCTGGGACCTGTTCCCAACCCCTGATCATGTTAGTTGCCCTCCCCTCTCCCAGCCTTTCTCTTCCCCTCTCCCACCTCCTTTTCCCAGTCTCCCCCAGTTTTTTTTCAATAAAGACAAAGTCAATGTTGGAAGAAACGTTATCTTTATTTTGTACATCAATAAGAAGGGGGGCTAAGGAAGGGTAAGTGGCAGGAGGTGAGGGAGGAATGGGGTACGAGCCCCCGATGGGGAGGACTGGGCTGGCTCTGCGGGCTTCTGGGGGTGGAAGCTCTCCTGCAGCCCCCCAATTACTCCCTCTCCCCAGATGGCAGCCTGCGGCAAGTGCAGCCGGGCTGATGGCCGAGTGGTGTGATGTGCCCAGTGTGGGCACTCAGGGCACTCCAAGCCAGAACTTCTTTGCAAGCGGGGCACCCCTTAGAACTGTGTGTCCGGGGTGGGGGTCGGGACCCTTTAAGCGCAGCCCTCGGCTAGCCTGAGACAGCATCTCCATGCTCTAAGTCCTCCTTTTATGCCCTGCCGGCACTGCTTCCGGCCATCCTTAAGCCCTGTTCAGAGTCCACTCAATGTGGACTTGCTAGTTCGAACTAGCAAAACGCTAATTTGAACTAGTTTTTAGTTCTAGATGCGTTAGTTCGAACTAGCTTAGTTCGAATTAACTAATTCGAACTAAGTTAGTTCGAACTAGCGCTGTAGTGTAGACGTACCCAAAGAGAATAAAATCCCCACAATCCCCACTTCATCACAGGGAGTTGGGAGGAACTAGATGGGCATGGCTCTGGGCAGGGGAGAAGTAGGGAGTTGAGGGGGTTTTACAGGGAGTTCTGTCTCTGTCCCCGTCTGATGCCCCTGCACCCCCCAGGTACTGGAGCTCGCTGTGTGGACTCTGCGGTGACTATGATGGGGACCCTAACAATGACTTCCAGACTCCGATGGGGGATGCAGTCAGCTCAGCTGGGGACTTTGGGGACAGCTGGAGTGTTGGCAAGTGAGTGACACCCCCTTGCGCCCGACTATGGCTCTGCCAAACCTTCCATTCCCCTCTGGCTTCCCTGCCACCTCCCAACCCTGCATGTCTCCTACTGCCCCATGACAGCTCCCAACCCATACACTGCACATGCCCTATAGTGTCCCCCAAATCTTCTTACACCCCCAACAGCCCTCCAGATCTCCCTTGCCCCTACAGCCCTCCTAAAGCCTCCTAAAACCTCCACGCCTCACACAGCCCAGAGGGCCTCCCCAAGCCTCCTACACCTCCTTCAGGCCACCTTCACACCCCCAACCACTCCATACACCCCCATCCCCTCCAACAGAGTGCACTCCACAGACTCCCAGTGGCCCTGAGCCCTGGAAAACCCTCTTTCTGCCTGCCTCACCTCTCTGCTCCCCGCCCCACCGCAGCTGCACCTCATCCAGCCCTTCTGTTACGCCTCCATGCCCGGCGGAGGCACAGCTGGAGTACGAGGGACCCAGGGCCTGTGGGATTCTGCTGGCCCCCAATGGGCCCTTCTCCCCCTGCCACAGTCTTCTCAGCCCCATGGTGAGTGGGGCGTGGGGGTCTAGGGTGGAGGCCATGGATTAGGGGGACTGGGGGAATTGGGGGATCCAGGGAGTGTGGAGGTGGAGAGTTAGTGGAATTGAGGATTCAGAGGTCATGAGGGATCATGGGGAGGGGGCTAGAGGTGATTGGGATGGTTATGGGAGTGTGGCAGGGGACTGGGGGAGCAGGGGTAGGGAGGGGGCCGAGGGGATTGTGGGGTTGTGGGGGTTTTAGGGCCTCACCAAGGAGTCCAGGGTTCATGGGGGGCTGGCATGGGGGGCCTGCAGTGCCCCGCACACCCTGCCCTGGCTTCCTGGGATGCAGATCCCCCATTGCCAGGACCTTCCCATGACCCCATCCTCTCCCCACCAGACCTTCTTCCGGGACTGTGTGTTCGACTTGTGTGCGGGTGAGGGTGACCGGCGCCAGCTCTGTGCCGCTCTGGGCAACTATGGGGCCCAGTGCCAGGATCGAAACCTCACCCTGGGCACCTGGCGCAACCAAACGTTCTGCCGTGAGTGGCGGGGCAGGAGGGGGGATGGCAGGGCTCAGCAGAGGGGAAGAGCTAGTCCAGGCAGCACCATGAGGCAGGGGGGCTAGGTCATGGGATGCTATGGGGCAGGGGTGCCCAGTACGGGGCGCTGTGAGGTTGGGTTTGGGGATAGGCCAAACAGTTCCATGGGGCAGAGGGGCTAAGACCAGGCGTGCTGTGGATCAGGAGACAGGGGACAGGCTAGGCCAGCAGTGCCCTGGGGCAGGGGCTGGGGGAAGGGCTTGGCCGGGGGTAGGTCATGGGATGCTATGGGGCAGGGGTGCCCAGTACGGGGCGCTGTGAGGTTGGGTTTGGGGATAGGCCAAACAGTTCCATGGGGCAGAGGGGCTAAGACCAGGCGTGCTGTGGATCAGGAGACAGGGGACAGGCTAGGCCAGCAGTGCCCTGGGGCAGGGGCTGGGGGAAGGGCTTGGCCGGGGG